CCGTTTATCGTTATGATTTTTATGAGGAGAAAGTACATTCAAAAAATAATATATACAAGTGATAGTGTGTGCAAGAATGTAATAAGAATGAATAGACAAACTTTTCATCGTTTATGTTCCAGACCTGAAGCAACTAAAATGGCATTTTCAACAAAAAATATGTTAGTCGATGAACAAGTTGCTATGACATTACATATTTTGGCACATCACCAAAAACAGAGGGTTATAAATGCAAACTTTGAGCGTTCTGGGGAGACAATAAGTAGGCACTTCCGACAAATAATAAATGCTATTATAAGAATTCAAGAAGAACTACTTATGAAACCTGAAGTTGTTCCAGATGATTCTACTGATGAAAGATGGAAATGGTTCAAGGTATGTTATTTAGTCTACAGATAAATAAAATAATAATGTAAATCATCGTGTTTATTCTAGTTTTATTATAATAGGGGTGTTTAGGTGCTCTAGATGGCACTCATATCAAGGTTCGAGTGCTTGTACAAGACAAACCTAGGTACCGCACGCGTAAAAATGAAATTTCTACAAATGTATTGGGGGTATGCTCCCAAGATATGCAATTCATCTACGTGTTACCCGGATCGGAAGGTTCAGCAGCCGATGGTAGAGTGTTACGAGATGCAATAACTCCGAGAAATGGCTTGGTGGTTCCTCGTGGTAAGATGCATAAATTCAGTTCAATTAAGATTAAAAAAAAAACTACCCTTTAAAAAAGACAAAAATAAATAATTTATACTAATGATTAATATAACTTCAAGGTACGTATTATCTTGTGGATGTTGGGTATACAAATGGTGAAGGATTTCTTGCACCATTTCGTGGCCAAAGATATCATTTGAATGATTGGAGAGAAAGACACATGCCTACCACCGCTGAAGATTTTTTCAATATGAAGCATTCTTCTGCTAGAAACACAATAGAGAGAGTTTTTGACTTGATAAAGACTCGATGAGGAATCTTGAGAAGTTCATCATACTATCCTATAAAAATACAAAATCGCATCATCATGGCTTGCTGCTTACTTCAAAATTTCATTATGCAAGAAATGGGTGCTTACGACGATGAGGAGGAAGAAATAGAAAATCAACAAGAGAATAATGACATACATGAGGATGAAGACCTTGTTACTACGGTTGAACCTTCTACTCAGTGGACTAGTTTTAGAAGAAACCTTGCTGTTAATATGTTTAAGACATGGATAGCGCATAGAAACTCTGCATAGTTTTTTTTTCATATTAAAAGTAGAAACATTGTTGTTATTACGTTCACCGTGTGTGGTATATTTTTTGGCGGTTACATCTTTTGTTCAAATTTGTGGGTTCTTTATTTGTTAATTCATGTGATGGATTATATGTTAAGTCATGCGATGAAAATTTTTCTATTATAATCTTAATTTATTATCAGTTTGTATTTTCCTTACAAAGCATGGATCATCAACCTCAAGAAACAAGAGGTCGTGGGAAGAACAAAAGAAAATAGAATAATGAGGAAGATGCTAAGCTTGTGGAGGCACTCCTTGAGATGGTAAATCTTGGAACCTATAAGGCTGAAAATGGGTTCAAACCTGGCTACTTGAACTATGTTGAGGACAAATTGCAAGTCTCGTTGCCCAACTCTGGATTCAGGCTAAACCACATATTAAGTCAAGAATTAAGACATTGAAGAGAGACTTCAATATTGTGTATGATATGTTAAATGGTCCAAATACAAGTGGATTTGGTATGGATCCGATAAGAAAATGCATCGTAGCCGAAAAGTCCGTATGGGGCCCCTACATTGAGGTATTTACATAACTACTTTTTATAGATTTGTTTGCTGCGTTTGGTTCCATAGGTTTCTTATATAGTATTGTAATTTATTTTGAAATATTTTAGAAAATCTCTTTGATTTTCACTAGATTGTTTTTAGTTTTGTTGGTAGGATGTCACCATGAATTTTTTTTTTCTTTTTTTGTCAACTTGAATAGAATGTAGCCTGGGAGATATAGTAATCAAACACATTATAATTAGAATAATATTATGAGATATGTCTATAGTTCATCAGTATTAAACTAATTAAAGCAGTACAAATTGTATATGTCTAGCTAGTCTCTACTTTTTTCAGTTAGTTTGCCTGCCACCATCAAATCAAAGATTTAAAATAAATAACTAGCTTAGATGATTGGATTAGTTAATGATTGATAACTTATTTAATTGAGCCCTCTGTTAGTTGGACGAAAAATTATGGTTTATTACTGAGGTGGATATCATCTTGTATGAATTGTGGTCATGATGGTTTTTTGTCAATAGATTGTGAAATGAGAGAAAAAAAAAATGACAATGTGATTAATTACATATTTTGTTAATTTTCTCAATTAGTTATTGTTTTTTCTTGCGACACAGAGTCATCCTACCCATGCAATCTGGCAAAATAAGGCTTTCCCCTTATATGATGACTTGCTCATTATTTTTGGAAAAGATCGTGCTACTGGAGGAAATGCTGAAGGACCTAATGATATGATGGAAGATATACAAAGGGAAGATGTCAATCTTAATGCTGATAATGACGTGGAAGAAACATCCGAAATTGTTCTTGATGATTTAGATGCTTCATTTTCTCCATTACAGTCCCCAAGATCTGCTGCAGTTGACAAGAGGAAGAAAAGAAAAAGAAGTGTTGATAAATTAACGGCTATGACAGACATAAAAGAAGCAGCATCGATTATTGGAAGTGAAATTGCTAAAGCTAGTAAAATTTTTGGTAAAGCTATTGGAGTTGATGCTGAAATTTCAGAAAAGAGACAAAGGATTGATTCAGAGATAAGGAAGATTCTCAATCTAGCTGTGGTGGATGTTATTAAAGTTGTGTGTCGTATCGCTCAATCACCCGAGTTAACCGACGTATTTTTTAGCATGACTGGAGAAGGAAGAGAGTAGTTGGTTATGGCCATCATAAGTGGCCAAGTTTAAATCGTCAATTTTTTTATCTTCAAATTTATAATATCGTCGCTACTTATTTTATCAAGTTCAAATTTTTATTGAATGATACATTCGTACATTTGTTTTTATTTTTATTGAGTTTATTTTATGATTATACGTTTGATTTTCTTAAATATTCATAATTATGTTAATAATGCACAATGAAAAAAAAAAATCAAACAAAGGCGCGGTGTGTTTGCAAAGTGTTTTTGTGTTTGTTTAGCTGTTAGATTAGCAGTTGTCTATATGCACATGAGCCTTGAGCTTAATAGCAGGTCTTTCATATAGAGTTTGGTGTGCTTTGTGTCTTTTGTCACAAGTGAACAAATTGCATTGGTCTTAATATCATTAAAAAATAATTAATACACTTTATTAATATAAATAATTATTGTAGTTAATATTTGAAAAAGTAATATTGATAAGTGGATTTGAAACTGATTTTTAGACACAAATAAAGAATTATATTTCCTTTATATATATTTTCATTCAACAGCTGGTTTTAAAATACCAATAATGGGAATGATATCAAGTAGGGAATAAATGTTTCAATCCTTGCCAATACCAATAGCAGGTACGGGATTCCATTCCAGTTTTCATTCCTTTCCATAGCTAATTCCATTCCCTTTTAATTTCATTCCCGTATACCAATCATACCATTAGGCTTTTAGACATTCCTGTATACAGGACGAGTCCTATTCCTCTCTCGGTATCAGCTCCTTTTTCTGTGTCTCGAGTTGTAACCATAGCATGTCCTGTAGCTAGATTAGCTGTTCTAAACCCATTTTCTTATGCTTCTGCAGCCCAAATCGAGGGATTTAGGTTGCTACACGTTTTTCGTCGACCAAATAATGTTTGAATTGCAATTTCCTATTCAACCCGAACTGTTGCCGATTAGTAACATGTATGATGTAACCATAAATCAATTCTCTCCCAATGCCATTCACATTATGGTATCTTTTACCATAATTTGTAGAATAAAGTTTGGCCATTTCTTGCCCGAGTTCCTCCTGTATTGTTATAGTTATCGTTACATAAAGGATGCCCATTGCCTGGGTCGTCGTCCCGGCGTTTCCTTCCTCGAGGATCTTTCCTCGAATGTCACCGAGTGGAAGACCAAATTCTTTTATATCCGTCCTGCTCCCGGCCAGTACCCTTTCTCCAACATCTGGCTTACCTCGAAGGTCAAGCAAGATAAACCTCGTCCTAAGTCGAGCCAATTCCAGGATATGTTGGACGACTTAAATAAATCCACATGGAGTGCCCGTTTGTTGGTTAAGGTTCGCAGTCTTCTTAATCATGTGGGCCTTTGGATTGACGAGGACGCTCCTCGCTTTGATGATCCTCGTAAGCTTACGTGTTTGCTTGTTCATGTGTTTATCTTGTTTTATTCGTAAGTTACATTGTGCTTGTAATCATCAGTGGTGCTTCTTAATTATTTGTTTCCTCGTCTTTCAGTTAAAGCTCTGCAGTGCTTCGAGGCTAAGAAAGCGAAGGGCAGCGAGAAGTCTGCTAAACAACCTTCTCTTCCAGCAGGGGTCGACGACGGCCTTGGTTCCGGGCCGAAGAAGGCATCAGTCGAGACAGCTGCCGCTAAAAAGTCGAAAGTGACCTTCCCGTTTGCCGCCCCGTCCCACAAAGCCTCGGTCTCGAAGTCCCGTAAAAGGGCCCAAGACAAGGCTGCCTTTGTGCTAGTCCCCGACTCGCTCAAGCGCCAGAAGAGCCAGGATAAGGGGAAATCGGTTGAGGCTCCCCGCTCTCCCAGCGCCCTCGAGACGGTGACCCTCGAGAGGCCTACCCGACTTTGGGATCATCCCCATCCTCATGAAATTGCCAAATACTTCGATTCCGTCATCCCCGCTGCCGACAAAGCTCGTGCCGACCGCGACCCTTACGACTGTGTCGGCCGTGCTCTCATGTGTTTCTCTCGGGTAAGTGTTCCCGACTTCTTTTTTAGTTGATTATTTTTCTTATTCTCGTTTTTGTCTTATACTGATTTTTCTTGACTTTCCTTTCAGTTCATGGCTTATGTGATGCCCACTCTTCTTGAGGAGTCTAGCTCGCCTAACTCTAATGTCCATGCTTATAAGAAGAGGTGCGCGGAACAGCTCCACGAACTCGAGCAAAAGAATGACGATCTCGCGGTGGACAATGCCCTCATTACGAAGCTCAAATCGAAGAAGGTCGTCGCCCTCTCCAAAATCGACCGGCTGCGCGTCGACCTTACCAAGACCACCGAGGACAATGTGGCCGAGAGGGAGCTTGGGAAGGAGGAAGGACGTAAGTCTTTCCTCAAGTCGCCAATGGGCTCCATCTTCCTCGATGCCTACCGGAAAGAGGTTGTCGGAGCGTTCTGTAACTCCCCCAACTTCCTCGAGAAGTTGTGTTCTGCCACCCTCCAGTATTTCTACTTCACGTTTGATGCGTGGGAGGCGGCCGCAAAGGGCACTGCTCTCGAGGGAAAGGTCGACCGTCAGGCGCTCAAGGAATCACTTCCCCTTCCGGTTGGCTATCGCGGTGACGCGTCGCTTCCCGACGACTTTCAATGGTTGTCGGGACTTGAGGCTCGTGCAATTCGAAAGGCCAAGTTGGGCGCGCAGGTTGAGGTTCCTCCCTCTCCTTTGACTGGTCGAATCTGCTTGATCGGGCCAAGTGGGGCGGATGACGAGGAGGATGAGGAGCCTCTAGACAAAGAGATCGAGGTTGAGCGCCCGGGCACAGAGCAGGTCGGGAGAGATGAGGGTGTCGGTACTGAGCCGGTCGGGGAGGATGGAGGTGCGGGTACTGAACCTGTTGGTGACGAGGATGGTGACGCTGCCGAAAAGTCATCCGCCGATTCTCACAAAGATTAAATATTTGATGGCCATGTTAGTTGCTTCGTTTGTTTGCTAGCCTTGTTGTTGTTTGTTTGTTTTTTGCTTTGTCGTCCTCGGA